GCTGCAAGTCGAGACAGACTCTGCTTTCCACTACCACCCACACCGATAAGTAGAGCGTGACCCAGAGGATTCCGGATGATACGTAGAATCCTCGACAGATGCTCTAATGCCATTTCAAAGAGCACTAAAGTCATCGGTTTGTTATCCAAGTTGTATGTCTCCAGCGCTTCATCGAAGATGCCACGAATACGTCGATACGACTCCATGTCTTGGTACAAGCGAGCGTCTTCGGTTGATGCTTGGCCCGTGATCCGTCCAATACAATCCGCATAGTCTCCGAAGATGAGCGGATCAGCAGAAGCTACTTCGGTTTCGTCAGGAAACGTATCACGCAAAATCTGTGTGATGGCACCGTCCACTAGCGCATTGTCGGACTCGCTGGTGAGACGATCACAGAAAATGCGTTTCACTTCGTTGCGCCATAGACGCACAATCTTGCCAGAAGTATCGAATTTATCGGTCGTAGCCATGCAGATACCTTCACAGACACGACCGAGATCACGTAGATTGAAGATGTAGTGGAACTTTGATGGAGTGGGCGGTAATTTCTCGAGTGTAAACTCGAAAAACTGAAGAAGAGCTTCGGTTAACTTGATTCCCTTGGCTTGGATTTCTTCGCTAAAGTTGCGCAGATAAGTGGTCACTATTGATCCGTAAATGTGTTTTAACACTTCTTTTGTTGGTGGCGTGAGGTTGTATACGTTGAATTGAGCCACAAATCGTGGATCCACTTGGTTCCGACCACCACCAGGAGGTCCCATAGCGCCGATAAAGAGTAAATCTTTGAGAATACGCAGATCCAGTTCTTTGCCACGGTCGTACATGCTACCACGGTTCATCACAAAGTGAAGAAGTGCAATGGGCTGCTGTGTTCCGTACAAATCCACCTTGGGCATATTCAAGTCGTCGATGAAGATCAACAGCTTCTTACCTGCCGGAGGTCCGTAAATCTTGCCCGAGCGCTTGTCAACGTTAGCTTGAATGTTCGTCTGGACGTCCAGACTACTTGTACGACTCGAGAAGTTAATACTCAACGTCGAACAAGTCTGCTGGTCTAAACCCGCGAGATAACTCTGGATCGTCACAGTCTTGGCTGTACCGCTCTCTCCTACGAACAGGATTGGCTTCTCTGTTCGCATGCAACTAGCAAGGATGAAGCTGTAGAGAACCGAGTCGGTGGTGGGGACAAACACTCGTGAAAAGTTGAATGGCGCTGGTTCGGTATACGACACGACTCGCGATTCCCATGGCTGCCACTTGCGAGTCTCCAAGTCGAAGAAGTTGTAATACAGACTCGTTGCAGGCAGCGGACAGTCTGCTATCTTCCGGATGAACTCGTTAAATCGCGCTCGACTGCTACCTAGCAGAGCAGCGCCTAGAGACCACACCACACTGAACAAAAAGATCCCTTCGACACTAGCACGATCTGTTGTCGGGTCTAAAGATCCATCACTTGGTAAGAAAGCATCCAGCGAAATGCAGAGCTGTTTGCACATTTCCATGTTACTGATCGGGATCACCTGCTGGCATTTGGCTACGACCTCGTCTTTACTGAAGACTCCGTCCAGGATGAAATCGATACATTTGGGCACGTACTTGTCAAACAATTCGAGTAGTAAAATTCGTTCCAATGGGGTCACTAGAGTTCCAGGAGGTGGAGAAATAACACTTGGCGGTGTGTCGGTAGATGCAGTAACTGCTACCATTGGATATTTTTTCTTCAGCCAGCGTTCGTAGTACGGACGATATCCGAGGTTCTTCGGATCGACCCAAACCATTCCACAACGGCTAATGGTAGCAGGTGAAGCGTATTGTAGATCGAAAGTCTCACAGATCATACAACAGTGAGTTTGAAGTCGGATACGCTCACCATTGGGTAGAGTAAGCAGCTTGTTGTCGTCCATGACGCTGTTCAT